GTTTCTTGTAACTGCTGATCAGTCCTGCACAACGGCTTGTAGGAATTTTAGCCCATTCCTCAGTACAGAAGTGCTTCAACTCTGTGATGTTGGTGGGTTTCCTCCTATGAACTGCTTGCTTCAGCTCCTTCCACAACATTTCAATTGGATTAAGGTCCGGAATTTGACTGTCATTCCAAATCATTAACTTTGTTCTTCTTTAACCATTCTTTGGTAGAACAGCTTGTGTGCTTGGGTCGTTGTCTTGCTGCATGATCCACTTTCTCTTGAGATTCAGTTATCGGACAGATGTCCTGATATTTTCCTTCAGAACTTGCTGGTATAATTCAGAATTCATTGTTCATCAATGATAGTAAGTCGTCCTGGCCCAGATGCAGCAAAACAGGCCCAAACCATGATACTACCACCACCATGTTTCACAGATGAGATGAGGTTCTTATGCTGGAATGCAGTGTTTTCCTTTCTCAAAACATATCGCTTCTCATTTAAACCAAAAATTTCCATTTTGGTCTCATCTCTCCATTAAATGGCAGCAATGTTCTTTTTGGAGAGCAGTGGCTTTCTCCTTGCAGCTCTCTCATGCTCTCCATGGTTGTTCAGTGTTAGGGTGGACTCATAAACATTAACATTAGCCGATGTCAGAAGACGAGAAGAATAGACCTCGCGGACTATTACGCGTCTTGCTTTTGGAGTGATCTTTATTGGTCAACCACTCCTGGGGAGGGTAACAATAGTCTTGAATCTCCTTCATTTCTACACAATCTGTCTGACTGTGGATTTCTGGAGTCCAAACTCTTTAGAGATGGTTTTGTAACCTTTTCCAGCTTGATGAGCAACAACAACTCTATTTCTGAGGTCCTCGGAGATCTCCTTTGTTCGTGCCATCATTCACTTCCACAAACATGATCAGACTTTGATTGATCGCAGTTCTTTAATTAAAATAGGGCACGCACTGACACCTGATAGTCATCCTATTGATTAAAAACAACTCTGAACAGATGGACTCTAAATTCACCTTCAAATCAACTGCTAATATAGATATTCACTTTTACCACTCACAGATATGTAATATTACATAATTTTCCTGAATAAATAAATTAGAAAGTATATATTTTCATCTCATTTGTTTGATTTGGTTCTCTTTGACAACTTTCAGGACTTGTGTGAAAATCTGATGATCTTTTGAGTCATATTTATGCAGAAATAGACAATTCACAAACTTTCAAGCAGTGCTGTATATTTTGAAGTTTATATTTTCTTAGTATAAAAAGTGTTATACTGTGTAAAAACATTATAATTTACACACTATATATATATATATATATATATATATATTTCATATATTAAGTATATGTTATTTAATACATATGTATATTGTATGATATCCTAAATAATTGTTACCACAGTTATAATACATTATAATATTTATCTGTTCATTGTTACATATTTACAAATTATAATGCTTTAAAACACATGACAAACAACCAGTTTTCAGTGTAACAAGAAACCTACAAATATTATAATGCATTTTAACTTTGTTTACAATTATTTATGAAAAGGTATAATGCATTACAATGGACATTATGAATATCTATGTAATGCATTATACAACATTTTTCTTTTTCAGTAATCTATTACACTCGGATGTGCATCACAATGCAAGACTTCAAGTATTATCCGACTAATAATGGATAATGTACATTCAGCTTTGTGCTTCATGTCAGGGTTTACTTTATGATTAATGACTGACTGTACTTTATCCCACTTACAGAGTTACTTGCCAAACAAGTGTACTCATGGACATAAAATATTGATTTGAGTTTATTTGATTATTTTAGAAGAGACTGCAGAGTGATAGGAGAGACCTGAAACTGGCACAGCTGAGCTGAGTAGGAAATGTGCTTGAATATACCAAAAAAATTGTCCAGTCACAATCAAATACCCTAGAGAGCCACGTGATAATACTGCATTCACGTCATTTTAGAATGACGCCTAATTATGACAGGACTCTGAACTGTTTTCATTCTCAGACACAGAGTGCGGCTTGTTGTTGTCACTATACTTAATCATTATATTAATTAACTTCTGTGTGAACAAGCAATCTAAAGGCTAGCATCAGATTTCATAAATTGACATATCAAGCAGATATATACAGGTGCATCTCAATAAATTAGAATGTCGTGGAAAAGTTTGTTTATTTCAGTAATTCAACTCAAATTGTGAAACTCGTGTATTAAATAAATTCAATGCACACAGACTGAAGTAGTTTAAGTCTTTGGTTCTTTTAATTGTGATGATTTTGGCTCACATTTAACAAAAACCCACCAATTCACTATCTCAACAAATTAGAATACTTCATAAGACCAACAAAAAAAAACATTTTTAGTGAATTGTTAGCCTTCTGGAAAGTATGTTCATTTACTGTACATATACTCAATACTTGGTAGGGGCTCCTGAGATGCACCTGTATATATATATATAGAGAGAGAGAGAGGATCTGTGCATCTGGTACTCAATCTGTGCAAGCCTGTAATCATTCAGTACGACCTTTGAAATCTTGAAATATTAATGTGATGTTGGGTACCGTACTTTTATGAAGACCGGTAGCAAATCTTTGAAAATGAAGTGTGCTTTAACCACTTTATCAACTCTTGCTCTGCTACAGATCCCTGAAGAGGAGTTGGACCCATTTAATGTTCTTGGAGTGGATATTCATGCCACTGAATCAGAACTCAAGAGAGCTTATAGACAGCTGGCAGTGCAGGTGAGATGACATCAAATCATGGCCTGGAAACATCTATTATATCTCTGTTGAATTATGGATTAAATTTATTTGTCAAGGTTTAATGTATTGTTTGTGTACAGGTTCATCCAGACAAAAACAAGCACCCAGGTGCTGGTGAGGCCTTTAAGGTGTTAAGAGCAGCGTGGGACATTGTCAGTAACCCGGAGACTCGGCGAGAGTATGAATTGTGAGTGCTTTTAGTAGATTGATCTACATACTAAATTGGCACAAAAAGTTTAATGAAATATTGTCTTGAAGAAAATGGCTTCTGTTATTTTGCATTGTGACAATATTCTCTTGACAATTATACACTATTACCCACAGATTATCATTACTCTAATGCAAAATGATTTTGTTCTCTTAAACCCTTGTGCTGTGCTAAAAATCCTTTACCTAATTTGGTGATCCCAGTCAAAAATGACTGGCCTTTTAAAAATAGCTTAAATCTCTCATTATGCCATATTATCACCAAATATTGGATTCACTCAAAAATTGAGGTGCAAATGCTCAGATCAATGAGGCCTACGATCAGTCCGTCCCAAACAGAAATACAAAGCCTGAGCTAACTGAAAGAGAACAAGCTGACAAAAAGATTGAATCCAAGATTTGGTGCTTTGGCATAATGAAAGAGCAATCTTTTGTAGGCCAGTTTGTAGTTCCCATTTTTGACCAGGAACACCACAAGTGTAATAAGGTAAGAAAAATATCCCAAAAAATGATCCATTTCCCTTGGGGAAGTTGCTGTAACTTACCCTGTGTCAGCAAGCGAAGTCAGTACGTTTTAGTCCAATGTGATAACATTAACATTTTTCGGGAAAAAGAAAATCCTCTCCGGGTCAAAATGACAACACAACATGAGTGTAATGTGCAAAAAGTTATTAGTTGTATACATTCTTACAAACATTGTATCATGGGAATATCTGATATATTGCATTTCATGCTGAATTATATGACTAATTGTTTTAAAAATTACAATAATGAGAATGAAAAATGTGACCTGTGCATGTTTCTTTGATATAACCACAAATGCGTGAGTCTTGAGTGTTTTTGAATTTGGGTTCTGTGTCTGCAGGAAGCGTATGGCAGCTACAGAGCTTTCAAAATCCATGAATGAGTTCCTGACCAAACTGCAGGATGACCTGAAAGAAGCCATGAACACAATGATGTGCACTAAATGTGAGGCCAAGCACAAGTGCGTATTACTGATCATCATTTCAGTCTTGTCATTTCATACAGAGCTTGTTTTGTGCTATAAGCAGCATTTCTATATTCATCTGAGCATCGCCTCTTCCTCAGGCGCTTTGAGATGGACCGTGAGCCTGGTGAGGCCCGATTCTGTGCTGAATGTAGTAAGTGGCACAGTGCCGAGGAGGGAGACCTGTGGGCTGAGTCTAGTATGCTGGGACTGCGCATCACATTCTTCGCCTTCATGGATGGCAAAGTCTTTGACATCACTGGTAGTTTATTCGCATTGCCACTCTCAGATCATTGCTGTGTTCATATGTTGTGTATGCATATGTTCAGATCGTTGAGACGCATCTCTATGTTCACACAGAGTGGGCAGGCTGTCAGCGTATAAGTATCTCTCCAGACACGCATCGCGTGCCGTATCACATCTCTTTTGGCTCTAAAGGTAGCAGCGGCACCAGCCGCCACAGGTAATCGCTCTGACTTTCTTCCGAAGAAGTGTTCTATCCTCAGACTATTATGACCTCATCAGTTACTCAAAGGCCATTACGATATCATCGCTGTCAGATAGATTCGGAATGTTGGTCATTCTATCGATGCAAGTCAGTGGGAGACTTGCACACTTTGCGCTTTAATTTCTTGAAAATTAACCTGTTAACTGTCACTTGCCCACCGGTGGACCCACTTGCCATTACATGTTTTAAACAGTAATATCTTCGTCTGAACCTAAAGTAATCTTGACAAACTGTATATCGTTTGAAAGCTTAAAGACTCTAGTTTTGATATTTGGTGACTGATTTTTGAAATATTTTACAGAGCAACTGTCATTTATTAATATGCAAGAAGAGTACTCATCAGAGTCATAGAGTGCGTTCTGACCTTTACTTTGAAATAGTGATGCACATATGAAATCATGAAAAATCAGTAAAAATCTTTAATAATTATGGAAAGTGTTCAAAAGATAACATCCTTTCAATTTTTTTTAGAAAAAAAGGTCTAAAAGTGTTTTGAATATATAGAAAAAAACAATAGATTCTCCATTTTTGATACATCGTGAACTATAACGCAAGTCCAGGGTTCTCGTCGCATGTCTTTTATGTGTTTTTTTTTTTCAGGTTGAATTGAAATCAAATACTTTCATACTGCCCTTAATACTTCTGAGTGTGATGTCTACTTCATAAATATTGAGAAAAGTATGGAAAAACATGTTTCAGATCACTCAAACCATATATGGCAATGAAGGCGCCCTTAAATGGTTACTAATGGGGTTTGATGGTCATCTAGTGGAAAAGCTTGGTACTACGCCCAAACAAAATCTCACTGAAAGCTCATTTTTTGAGATATCAACCTCAAATTTGGAACAAAACATGTTTTGTAAAATATATATTTTATGTAAAACATAAATATTTAAATTATTACATTTATATTTGCATAAACTTAAACTTCCATAACTTTTTTGTTATATAATCTTTATAATGTTTTTCACTTCTACAATAATCTGCCAAGTGTCTTCTTTAAAAAGAGACCAACCTTAAGTCTGTGGTCCAAGGCATTCCAAATTTATAACAGTTTAATTTGGAAATGTCATTTTCAGGTCTATGCTCAAAAAGTGGAACCGACAGTTAACAGGTTAAAATAAGTATCACTTTACAATAAGGTTCCATTTGTTAACATTAGTTAATATGAACTAGGGCTGCATAATAATAGTTAAATGATTAATCACAATTAATTTGCTCAAAAATATAATCACAATTATTAATCAGGTTTATTGTCATTTTAAACTTTTTTTATGTTTCATTAGAAATGTTGCACTTTCACATAAGCACAAATCAAGAGAACATCAACTCTTCAAAAAACATGGTTTGCTTGCAGATTTAGTCGTAGCAAACAGCACAAATGACCACGTGACTGGCTATATTACACTTTTATTTGATCAATCAAAAAAAATTGGTGATCATTTTTCGTATATTCCAAAAACAATGTAGTTTTAAAAAAATATAAGTCTTTAGATGACAAGGTTTGTAAGATCATGAGAAACTCATTCAGTCAGGTGTTCGCAGACTGGAAATATTTTTAAAATATGCAAATATGTTAATTATATATCTTGTAATAGATATGGTATATGTTGCCAACTGAGATACAAAGATTTACTTTTGTAACAACATTTATAAGAACTTGCACATGCTTTTTAAAGTAGACTTGTGCACGTTTTTTCTTATTTGTCATTGATCGATCTACAAAACAAAGTTTGAAAGGGTTCTGTATTGGGCTGAAAATATAGAAGACGAAAATATAGAAATATAGTTCACTTCAGCACGTCAGTTTGGTGTAAATATGCCAAAGTGTTGCAGAAATACAGCCACAGATCCAGATTGGCATTACATTGTGTTCTAGGGCTGTCAAAATGGCTGAAAAACTAAATTCGAATTTTTTTCATAAATATTATCAAAATTCGAATTATATTCGAATTTAAAATGCATTATTTCAGTTAGGGTGAAGAAAAGCTTTTGGCTTCTCTCCTGAGGCCACAAGAGGGCGCATCGAGCAAAATATCACTGCACGTTTATTCAAAGAATAATAAAATAACACGACTATCTTTGATAATGTTTAAAATAATGTTTATAAACCAATTATAATTAAGTTGCTTAAACAACTATAAACAAAACAGCATCATGTATGCATGCATAGTTTAATACAAAGGGCGGAAAGCCAATCACACAGAGTACATTTTTCATTTAAAAACACTAGTTGCAGTGGGATGGGGAAAAAACAATCGCCATAAAGTCTCGAGATATGTTTTCTCAAAGTTAAACTTGCATTAATTTTACATGGCTTTCTAAACATGCGGTTCTCTTGTGCGAGACGCGAGTGCAACGGTGATAGATGCGCGAAATAAGCGTTCTGTGTGAACGGTTTGGTTTCAGTTTTGACGTAAACAAGATGATCTCCGCATTGATGTTCTCTTTTCCTGCAATATTTGCAATTAACAACGTAGCTGCGCCGCATCTACTGGCTTCAACTGGATAGGCTAACAAAAACATTAAAATGCAATGACACTTACATCGTCATCGCATCTCGTGCTCCACTGATAAGGCTGCCTCCTTAACGCACACCTAAAATTCGAATGCAACGCTTTTGTATCCAAATGCGGACTTTTATTTTTAATTCGACGAATATTCGAAATTCGAATTTTTTTTTGACAGCCCTACTGTGTTCCAAATTATTATGCAAGTGACATATCAAAAGGGTTTCGGTACAATAAAGAGTTAGATTTTTGTTTGTGTTGTTTTTCACGTCTTTTTAGATAACTGGTATCAATCTCAGACAGGTTTGTTCAATAGTTTGCCAGGTCTTCTTAGGTAAATGGAAACCCTACTTAAAGAGGTTCCACATTATTAAGCAAGTCACAGTTCTCATGCAATATGGTGAGGAAGAAAGATCTTTCTGAAGATGAAAAGTATGAAACAATGCAATGTCTTGCAAAAGGCATCAAAACAAACTATATTTTGCAAAAAGCAAATAGAAATGATTGAACTGTCAAAAGATTTGTGAGTGACAGAAGATCTTGGTCAGATAAAGATTTACGGTATTAACGGTATTAACTGTCAAACAAAAGACTCTTTATTGTACCGAAATCCTATTGATATGTCACTTGCATAATATGCATAATAACAGTGTAAATTTGATGAAGAGTTAAAACAGTTTGAAATATCAAAAAGCTGTTAATAACTTTTTGCCAGCATGGTCTGACGATGAGCTGTGTGAAATGTGATATAGATTGAACAAACAGTGTAGGATGACTTTAAAAATAGGTTTTTGAGAGAAAATCAAGTTTGACACAAATCAGGTTTCATAACTATATGCCAAAACGTTCATAAAATATAACATTTTATGACAAAAAAATTCAAAATGGCCAGTTGTTGGGTATCATTTGATTCAAGTACCCACAGGTCATCCTGGTAATGACAGGTGCACAATATGCCAAAATGTTGCGGAGTTGTTGAATCATTGACTAATTGATGCGTCATACAAGAACCGTTTGATCTATCACAAATCTTTTAAACACTTTTTGCCAGCATTGTCTAGCGATGATCTGGTTCAATTTTCATGAAAATTGGAGCAACAGTCTAGAAGGAGTATGAAGTAGGTTTTTCGGAAACATTCTAACTGGACAATTTTCATGACGGGAGTATGACATTCGACTCTGAATGAGCCAAGGAAAAAAGAATTTTCTAGCCTGTTTCTAGCCCTTATGGTTCAAAATTTGATAGCCATAGAAAGGTTTGAGATAGTAACCCTAAAATTGCTGTGGTTAATGTTCAGACTGTCCTCTATGTGTGTGCCAAATTTCCCGCAAGAGCTTTTGTGGACTGCCATAGACTTGAGCAGAAGAAGAACAATAACAGGAGGTGCCTGTTCACTTTTGGAGCTTGGCCCATAATTAACTGCCTGTATGTTACTGTAATGAGAGTCTTCATGTTGTCCTCTAGATCCCCCCCAGATCACGCACCAGGTGGAGGCTCACCTGCAGACCTGCAGGACTTCTTCAGCCGCTTCTTCCAGGGTGGAGCTCCCAGTGACATGTCTGCTAATGGAGGATTCTTCCCAACAGGAAACCCGCCGCCTCATTCCTCCGGAGCAGCTGCAGGGACTTCAACCATGTTTTCAGGATCTTCTCCACAAACAGGGTTCTTTAGCCCAGGGGCCCAACGGGGCGAATCCAGCGAACACTGGACTGACGGAGGAAAGCCCCCACGCCGGCGCAAGAAAGTTCGCAAGCCATTCCAGTGCTGAGGAATGCAATGTTGTGCAGAGATGGAGCGTTTTCACATCATTTCAGGTAACTGGTATCAATCTCAGACAGGTTTGTTCAATAGTTTGCCAGGTCTTCTTAGGTAAATGGAAACCCTACTTAAAGAGGTTCCACATTATTAAGCAAGTCACAGTTCTCATGCAATATGGTGAGGAAGAAAGATCTTTCTGAAGATGAAAAGTATGAAACAATGCAATGTCTTGCAAAAGGCATCAAAACAAACTATATTTTGCAAAAAGCAAATAGAAATGATTGAACTGTCAAAAGATTTGTGAGTGACAGAAGATCTTGGTCAGATAAAGATTTACGGTATTAAGGAAAGTTTCTGTCAAACAAAAGACTCTTTATTGTACCGAAATCCTATTGATATGTCACTTGCATAATAATTTGGAACACAGTGTAAATTTGATGAAGAGTTAAAACAGTTTGAAATATCAAAAAGCTGTTAATAACTTTTTGCCAGCATGGTCTGACGATGAGCTGTGTGAAATGTGATATAGATTGAACAAACAGTGTAGGATGACTTTAAAAATAGGTTTTTGAGAGAAAATCAAGTTTGACACAAATCAGGTTTCATAACTATATGCCAAAACGTTCATAAAATATAACATTTTATGACAAAAAAATTCAAAATGGCCAGTTGTTGGGTATCATTTGATTCAAGTACCCACAGGTCATCCTGGTAATGACAGGTGCACAATATGCCAAAATGTTGCGGAGTTGTTGAATCATTGACTAATTGATGCGTCATACAAGAACCGTTTGATCTATCACAAATCTTTTAAACACTTTTTGCCAGCATTGTCTAGCGATGATCTGGTTCAATTTTCATGAAAATTGGAGCAACAGTCTAGAAGGAGTATGAAGTAGGTTTTTCGGAAACATTCTAACTGGACAATTTTCATGACGGGAGTATGACATTCGACTCTGAATGAGCCAAGGAAAAAAGAATTTTCTAGCCTGTTTCTAGCCCTTATGGTTCAAAATTTGATAGCCATAGAAAGGTTTGAGATAGTAACCCTAAAATTGCTGTGGTTAATGTTCAGACTGTCCTCTATGTGTGTGCCAAATTTCCCGCAAGAGCTTTTGTGGACTGCCATAGACTTGAGCAGAAGAAGAACAATAACAGGAGGTGCCTGTTCACTTTTGGAGCTTGGCCCATAATTAACTGCCTGTATGTTACTGTAATGAGAGTCTTCATGTTGTCCTCTAGATCCCCCCCAGATCACGCACCAGGTGGAGGCTCACCTGCAGACCTGCAGGACTTCTTCAGCCGCTTCTTCCAGGGTGGAGCTCCCAGTGACATGTCTGCTAATGGAGGATTCTTCCCAACAGGAAACCCGCCGCCTCATTCCTCCGGAGCAGCTGCAGGGACTTCAACCATGTTTTCAGGATCTTCTCCACAAACAGGGTTCTTTAGCCCAGGGGCCCAACGGGGCGAATCCAGCGAACACTGGACTGACGGAGGAAAGCCCCCACGCCGGCGCAAGAAAGTTCGCAAGCCATTCCAGCGCTGAGGAATGCGATATTATACAGAGATGGAGTACTGTCTGTTGCCGTGTTTTGACATGATATTGGCCAACTAGTGCAACTAAACGAGGATAGAATCGTTTGACCTCTGTTGAGCATTTCAGTGTTGGCGCTTTGAAGCTTCCTGATACAGAATGAAATGGCAACATCAAATTTCTAAGAGGAGCAAGCAAAGAAAGATGCAAGAAGATCTTTGCTGTTTCATGTTTGAAGTCCTTTTTCGTTTTTGTTCTCTTTTTTTTTTTTTTTTTTTTTTACAAATTAACCTACTTTCA